ATGCTTTGAACAAATTGCCATTCGTATTTGGTTTTCATTAATGTATTGTTTATGCGTGTTTTGAATTAGTTATGTCATGTTCACTCATTTTCACTCATCACCGACACTTTTTTTTTGTCCACTTCACTCTATTCACTGTTGTTTAGCATGATTTGAGGGAGGATGATGAAAACGAGATACCCAAAATCGCGAACTCATATGCTTTCAGATAGAATCTCGTCAATGATGTACATGCATTGCTTCAATTCCCTAAACACCGGAGATATAAGGAGTTAATCCCTAGTAAACCACTTCGAGCCTAGAAGTAGCAGTTTCCTTCGGATATTCAAACCTTACACTCAACCTGGAGCAGGGTAGTGTTCAGTTAATTCAATTCCGCACTCGAATCAACAAGCAATAGCCCATGCTATGGCAGTCACAACCTTCCCAAAAATCCAAAAAAAATCAAAAGCCTACTAAGTCAAGCACCTTAGAGGGGACTTAGGCAAAATCAAGGCAATCCTGATGGATCTGACAAGCAAAGTCAATCCATGCAAAAGTTAGGGATCAAAACAAAAGCAAAAGAGGACCCCGAAATCCTCAACAAAAACAAAAAAATTTTCAGTGGCCACCCAGATCAAAGGGGCACTGACATTCATCAAAACCAAAATAAAGTGATTGCCACGTCGAGCAAACCTTGAACCGTCGAGTTTATACCGTCAAGACAAGTGTAGAATTAACTGAGCGTAGGACTGGAGATCATTAAGAAGAGGGGGTGGGTACAAATCATATTTTGAGCCTAACATCCTTTGTTTCACAACCGTGAACCAGACCACGTTACAGCCCTCGAAAGACCTAATTGAGACGAGGTTCATTCTAAAAGCATACTATCGCAAGGTTGCGTAACCTGACTCCTCACATGATTGCTAATCACCAGCATTGGTGTCATTTCCTTGCTATATCTTTCGCACTAATAAAAAGTAGCACAATGTTTGGGCTAATGGTCCATTCGTCTCACTATCACGACACTCTCAAATAAATGATACTTTTTCAAGCTTGCATTAAACTTTGCATTAATATTACCATTTGTGAATGTACAATTTTATTTGCAAATCAGTGCTAGGTATTCAAAGACACTTCAACAAGGGGCAATCAAGGAGGAACTTGATTTTCTGTGGCTGACACAAAGAAAGACTACCTCAAACCCACATGTTGGGGCAAATTACTCAACAGCTCGAGCAGGGGCATATCATTACCATATTCAGACTGGGGCAGAACCAAGTTACCCTAACCATCAAGCAGAGTTGCAACCTTCTCTGAAGCAAATTCACAACAAACCACCAAGTACCCAGACTCGGGGCATCCAGAGTATCTTCGCCTGTGTCAATCATGGCATCCTCAACAAGCTGCGTGTCGAGGAAGTCAATCCCTCCCACCACCCGAAGACCCATCTGCATTGGCAACTACCAAAAGTCCACCACGCTGGCGTCTCCACCTGCATTTCCAATTACCCGTCTGCATCATATGCATCATACGCATTACATTTTCTATCATAAGCATCTTGCATCATATGCATACCCAATCATATCATACTTCCCCAACTCTTGCATCTCCGTGCGTCAGCATTTGCACTTCCATTCCTTATGGAACCTCATTATCATCCAGCATTAGCATATACAAGTCAAGGTCCAGGATCAATCTCGAGGATTTCCAAGACCGTCATCAGCCCACTCAAAGGCAATTTTCCGCAAGACTGTGGGTTTCTCCCACAAAATTCAAAGACATTCAAAGCAAAACTCAGCCTAATCAGGGGCATCCTCTTCAGAGTTCATGGGCGTAACCATGAAATCATTTCAACAAAATTATGATTTCCAAGCAAGACAGTGGGCGTACCCCGTTGATTCATTTCAATCCAATCTTCCTCTTGGGAGTTCCCTAATGAGTTGTATTCAGCAAGCGTGACCGTTGTCAATTGCCTTACTATCATCCTTTTGGTGATAGTCGAACCTCGTCAGTTCAACCTAGCCTACATCCTTTTGGGTATTGGTAACCTTCAATTTGTGTTGTTCTATCATCCTTTTGGTGATAGCAATTTGTGTGTGTGAGTTTCGCTCCGTCATCCTTTTGGTGGGGGGTCTATCATAGTTATTAATGATAGATTGTGCGATATTGTTTGGTGTAAGTTTCGCTATGTCATCCTTTTGGTGGGGGGTCTATCATAGTCATTAATGATAGATTGTGCGATAGTGTTTGTCCTATCATCCTTTTGGTGGTAGTGGCCGGCGTGTGTTTTGCTCCGTCATCCTTTTGGTGGGGGGTCTATCATAGTCATTAATGATAGATTGCACGATATTTGTTTGTGTTTCGCTCCGTCATCCTTTTGGTGGGGGGTCTACCATAGTCATTAATGATAGATTGTGCGATAGTGTTTGTCCTATCATCCTTTTGGTGGTAGTGGCCGGCGTGTGTTTCGCTCTGTCATCCTTTTGGTGGGGGGGTCTATCATAGTCATTAATGATAGATTGTGCGATAGTGTTTGTCCTATCATCCTTTTGGTGGTAGTGGCCGACGTGTGTTTCGCTCCGTCATCCTTTTGGTGGGGGGTCTATCATAGTCATTAATGATAGATTGTGCGATATTATTTGTGTTTTGCTCCGTCATCCTTTTGGTGGGGGGTCTATCATAGTCATTAATGATAGATTGTGCGATATTGTTTGGTGTAAGTTTCGCTCCGTCATTCTTTTGGTGGGGGGTCTATCATAGTCATAAATGATAGATTGTGCGATAGTGTTTGTCCTATCATCCTTTTGGTGGTAGTGGTCGGCGTGTGTTTCGCTCCGTCATCCTTTTGGTGGGGGGTCTATCATAGTCATTAATGATAGATTGTGCGATATTATTTGTGTTTCGCCTAGTCATCCTTTTGGTGGGGGGTCTATCATAGTCATTAATGATAGATTGTGCGATAGTTTGTTTGTGTTTCGCTCCGTCATCCTTTTGGTGGGGGGTCTATCATAGTCATTAATGATAGACTGTGCGATGTGTTTATTTGTGTTTCGCTCCGTCATCCTTTTGGTGGGGGGTCTATCATGGTCATTAATGATAGATTGTGCGATGTGTTTGTTTGAGTTTCGCTCCGTCATCCTTTTGGTGGGGGGTCTATCATGGTCATTAATGATAGATTGTGCGGTGTGTTTTGTGTTTCGCTCCGTCATCCTTTTGGTGAGGGGTCTATCATGGTCATTAATGATAGATTGTACGATGTGTTTATTTGTGTTTCGCTCCGTCATCCTTTTGGTGGGGGGTCTATCATGGTCATTAATGATAGATTGCGCGATGTGTTTATTTGTGTTTCGCTCCGTCATCCTTTTGGTGGGGGGTCTATCATGGTCCTTAATGATAGATTGTGCGATAGTTGTTTGAGTTTCGCTCCGTCACCCTTTTGGTGGAGGGTCTATCATGGTCATTAATGATAGATTGTGCGATAGTTGTTTGAGTCTCGCTCCGTCACCCTTTTGGTGGAGGGTCTATCATAGTCATTAATGATAGATTGTGCGATAGTTTGTTTGTGTTTCGCTCTGTCACCCTTTTGGTGGAGGGTCTATCATGGTCATTAATGATAGATTGCGCGATGTGTTTATTTGTGTTTCGCTCCGTCATCCTTTTGGTCGGGGGGTCTATCATGGTACTTAATGATAGATTGTGCGATAGTTGTTTGAGTTTCGCTCCGTCACCCTTTTGGTGGAGGGTCTATCATGGTCATTAATGATAGATTGTGCGATAGTTGTTTGAGTCTCGCTCCGTCACCCATTTGGTAGAGGGTCTATCATAGTCATTAATGATAGATTGTGCGATAGTTTGTTTGTGTTTCGCTCCGTCACCCTTTTGGTGGAGGGTCTATCATAGTCATTAATGATAGATTGTGCAATATTGTTTGGTATGTGTTTGCTCTATCATCCTTTTGGTGATAGTAGCCGTGTCTGTTTCGTCCCATCATCCTTTTGGTGACGGTGACCTTTTTCCAGTTATGTTCAGTTTACTCAGAGGTATACCTCATCCAGCACTTTCAATTCCTAAGTTTTCCTTTTCTTTTCGAACAAATTCAGGGTCTTCTTTATATCTAATTGTCTTCTACCTTGAAAGAATAAGCGCCATAGCCGTTCATCTTACTCGGTCTAAGCCAATTGGATAGGGGCATCTGTCATACCCCAAATTTGTCCTACCCTTGTACAACCTTCATTTTGTATATTCACTCGCTTGCATTATTCAGAAAAATCAAAGAATATGTTGGTGTTGCTTGAATATCATAAGGTTAACTTGAATTGAGTCTGATAGATAAAGATTGAAGTCAGGTGTATGGTATGGACTGAGTTTTAATGGTTATGGCTTAATTGGTCAGTCAGACAAATATTTGTTTCAGACACAACTCTGGGGGGAGTATCGATCCAAATGACACGTGTTTAGAGATCAATTGGGGATATGTGTTTCAAATAAGGAAAGTCTATTCAAAAGCTATTGTTGAGAAATTGGAGTATAATCATAAGAGATGCAACAGAAAATATTGATACAAGTTGAGGTCCATTTACCATTCAAAGCCCATTCAAAAGTCATTTGTAATTCTACAAGGAAAATTGGAAAATATGTATCAATTACAAAAATCTCTACATTTCTTTTTTTAAATATGAGTACAAAAAAAGGGGGGGTCTATGATGTGTGCAAAGTTCCAGGGGGTATGTCGAATTTTTTAAGTAAGATGGGCCATTTCCCATTTGTCAAATTATGAAGGGTCTTCAGAATTATTTTTATTATGAGCCCTTGAGACCATTGCATATGAAAAAGTTCAGTTGCCCAGTTTCGTCCATTCATAGTTGTGTTCTTACTTCTCATTCGACAAGACAATCACATCCTCCTTTATCATCTTCCTCTCTGTCCCTTTCCGTAATCCTGTCTTCTAAATCCCAAAACATGACTACCCCAAGAAATACACTTGAACAGACACAAACTCGAGGTAACAGGAAGTAACAATGGACACAAAACAAGGCTTGTTCTCCACACTCAAAGACGACTTAATGAAAGGTTTGTTGCCGGCGAGCGGTGGTTCTCCGATTTCAACTTTACTCAGGCGGAGGAAGAAAGACCATGTTCCTCCACTGGACTTGCTGTTTGCAGAAAGATGCCACTCTAGGCCACAGGTGGAAGCAATGTCGCCGTTGAAAGAGGGCCCTGAGGAAACAGAATGTAGCTTCTCCATTTCCTCCTCTTCCGATCTCAGGCTGCTGCTTGGTGTACTGGCTGCACCTCTGGCTCCTCTCCGTGTCAGCACCACCGAGCCCTTTCCTCACCTTGCTATCAAAGACATTCCCATTGAGACATCTTCTGCTCAGTACATATTGCAGCAGTACATAGCTGCTTCCGGGGAACTGAAGCTTCAAGATTCCATTTACGATGCTTATGCAATGGGGAATGTGAGGATGATTGCTTCCGAGTTTGAAACGGCTAACACTATGCACAAGTTTCAGCTAAAAAAAATAGTCCACAGTGAAGACCGTATGCAAAAACACGCGCCTCCTGCATCAAAACCACAACGTTGCGCACCAAAACCAGCCCCACCTTCCATAATTATGTCAAATCAAGCCGTTACCGGTCCGTACAACTTGTCTTTATTCCCAAAGCTCTCAATTGTTGTATGGAGTCACATTCCAACTTGCACATAAGAATCAACAACAGACAAAATCAGGATTTTAAAAATTGCAGAAAAGGAAAAAACAAACAAGGAATAAGAAATCCTGGCTATATTCAAGGCATGAATTTCCATTACATGAACATGGCAAGTTTCGTGGGGAACATCGGCTTCAAAGTCTCGTTTCATCTTCTACCTGGCGTTTCTTCAATTCCACGGAATATTTGGAAGTTTCGGATTGCTTGCTTGAAGAGTAGAGACTTTAGTTCTTCTTCTGTTACTGCTAGCTACATTCTTATAACATCCTGCAGGGTGAAGATTCCGCGTTTGGAATATTGTAGTTTTGCTGATGGCAGTACAATCAAAATAAATGATGGGAAAATTGGGCACACAGCAGTTGCACATTGTGAAACTTCTCAAAATTCAGATAAAGTTCTCACCGGCTTACTACTTCACGACATTGAAGAAAGTTCCGAACAACTGGAGGAGGTTAGAGAATTGACAGTTCCTCAGATAGAGGACTCCCGTGAACAAGATTTTGTACGACTTGACAATTCTATCAATGATGTTGAACAATCAGCTGCCAAATTACTTGCATTTGGGGCACTCACGGCAGTTGAATTGAGAAAGATTTTGCTTAGCAAGAGATTCTCTCCTAATGCAGTAGAGGCAGTGATAAACAAACTCCAGAGACAAGGGTTCATCAATGATAAGTTGTATGCTGGATCTTTTTCTCAATACCGGATGGTCTTCATCTACTTGGGGTCCGAGACGGATCAAACAAGCCCTGTTCAAGAAGGAAGTTAGTTAATCTGATGTTGAAAAGGCAGTTGAAGTAGTTCTTAAGGGCAAGAATGATGGTACTGAAAAAGAAAATTCAATTATTAAATTGTCAAAACAGCCCATGGATCATCTTTATGTTCAGGCCTCAAAACAATGGTTCAAAGGTGAAAATATTCCAAAGGAAACAACAGAATTTTGCAGCACAACAAACTACTATGCCACAAAACTTGCACATGAATTCATGACAAACCGTTATGCACCAGCAGTAGCATCATGCAGTAACCCGCACACCAACTTACGAACCATGATACACCCGCAACCATCAAGCAACGTAGAAACTACAAAAAAATCAGCAGCATATTAAAACAGGTACGGAAGCAGGTTGAAAATCAGATTGTACAGGACCAATATGCAAAATGGCTCACGCAGCGCAAACATGGTGAATTGAAAAGAGCAGAGTGGCTAGCTCTTCATTATTGGTGACTGCTATATAAAAATTGCGGAAAAACTCCCTGCAGATCAAGAAGAAAGAAAATAAGTTGTGCTCACAAGTGGTCCAAGCTATTACTTTGCATAGGCCAAAATAACATTCCATGTATGCGGTGTGTCGAACGAGCCAACCTTCATCACACCACCCACCTCTTGTTACCGACCTGCACAAAATTAAGCCGCGACATTAATCATCACAGGGGATACCACAAACATAACCAGTGTAAAATCATGATATTCTAATAATAAGGGTAATTGAAAAACCGACCTCTGCTCCTTAGTCTCGGTGGCCTCTTCTTGCACATAAGTCAAGCCGTAACCCGAAAAAGCACGGAAATCACCTTCAGATGCAAGCCATCATGTAACTTCCCTCAACTGCAAAACACGCCTTCAGTAGACCTCTAACCGGTACCAACTTGGCGCCTGCGTCAGCGTATGGTTCACCTGCACCGGCAACAAAAATGATTATGGTATGAATTCGATCGACACAATCTGATGACATTGTTGTCCAAGCCACACCTATTCAAAGAGTGTCAGCATAGCAAATTGGGATTAAAAACGCATTCAGGAATTACACGGCATAATCTCGCATTTTGATTGTGGGAATTAAATAGAAAAGCAGGAAACAAAAGACAGTACCTGCACCAAACAATTTCACAATGACAGAAAAAAGAAAAAAAACAACACTATAATGCCAGGTCATGTACTCCATGTACGACCTTTTGCTGCAATAGCACTCAGACCATAACGGATCCCGAAAAAGCAAATGGAGAGGAAATTGCAAATGTACGATCAACAGCAAATTCCTTTGATACCCTTCAAAAATCATGTGGACATTGGGATAATAAAAAGTCTCTTGAAGCCAACGAAAGAAAAAAAACCTAGCCGCCACCTTCTTAGCGTGGAAGCCCTTTCACTCTTCATCAGCTACAAACCCCAAAAGACATTCAACACTTGATACCCTAACATTCTTCAAACTTTTCATCCCCAAAACCTCACTCTAATCTCCTTCATAGATAAAACCCTCTCTTCTTCAACCTCTAACCTTCAAAACTTTCTTTAAAATTCTTCAAACAATCTTTGTTGATGTCAAACGAAACCCTTCAGTTAACTCCCATTTTAACCTTTTTCATTCTTCAACAACAATAACAGATCGAAACCCATAATCATCCGCAAACCACACCGTTCGATGTCATCTCCACCTTCGAAACCATTCTTAAAACCCTGAACGTGTCTTCAAATCCTAACATTTTTTCCAAAACCAGATTTAGAAAAAGAAGTAAAAGAACACATGGGTCGAATCGCTGACCAAATCAAATGTAAATCGAACCTTGCCGAGGCAGTGTGAGCATAAAATCGAAGGTTGGACCAGACATTCTGTTCTTCATGACTCGTTTCTTCCTTTAAAAATTACTGGTGTAGTAGATAACGTGTTTCGATTTGGATTCGGTTTCAAACGATGTCCGTTGTTTCCTCACTTACGAGTCGTACGATGAGTTTCGATGAGTAGAGGATTTCGTTTTTTTATTTTCTTTTTGTGTTTGGCTGTGTAGAAAGAAACCAGTTTTTTGTTGGTTTTCGTTTGGTCGTGGGACTGATTTTGAGGTTAAGACGAATGGGCCCTAGGCCCATGATGACTCCATCTGATCTCTGGTTATTTCTCACCCCCTTATTCTCTTTTCGAATCTCCCCCTGTTTCTCTTCTCTTTTTCTTCTTTTTTTTTTAGTTTGTTTTTTTTATTATTATTAAAATTCAGGATTTGTTAATATTATTAGTATCATTCAGTTTGTCTATAATTTCATACTTTAGTTTTTTTTTTTTTTTTAAAAAAACAGTTTGTAAATATTCTAAATATTAGTTAGATTTACCTCTTTGTATTTATATTATTTAGATTATCAATATATTATTTTAAAACAATTTGTTAATATTATTTATTTTAGTTTTATAAAAAAAAAACTCTTTAACAATTTCTCTTATTTTATATATATATTAGAAGCTAGATCTTATTTTCATTTGATATTGATTGTGAGGCCTACGTCTCATTTACCAAATAATCGTCATTCCTCCTATACTTTTCGAATCCAATCTCGTATTCTCGTCTCTCGTACCGCAAACTCTTTTCACACCCTCGATTTTAGTCAACTTTTCTCAAAACACCTCTTTCGATTAAAGAAGAAGGTTCTTGGAATCTAGCATTCTTTGAATTTTCGAGTGAATAATTCTCGAGGCACGCTCTTGAGTTGTTATTTACTCAGTCTTTCGACTTTTTTTTTCAAACTCAATCATTTTGCAACGATCTCCTAAATCGAATGCTCATACGCATTCGCAACCATCAATATTTCGCACGCACCTCAGATTCATCGTGGTTTCGATATTAGGGGCACCCTCAGGGACTAATATCGTTTCTCACCTCTTAACCCTTGACACGTCGTCAAGTCGGTACCATATTCGATCAAATCCTCGACACGTCGTCGAGCTACTTCAAAACAACTTTCTTTTGGCCTCGCATGCCATTTTTCGATTCGACCCTTTCAAAAATACTTTTTTAAAATTACGAAAGAGAGATGTTCTTAGAATCTAGCATTCTTTGAATATTCGAATGAGTAACTCTCGAGGCGCGCCCTTGAGTTGTTATTAGCTCATTCTTTCGATTTCAAAACATCCAACTCTCTATCTTCAACTTATTCAGTCAATTCCCGAAAGAATTGAGTTCTTGGAATCTCGCATTCCTTGAATTCTTGAGTGACAAGCTCTTGAGGCACGCTCTTGGGTTGCTTGTCAGTCACTCTTTCGTTTCTTAACATAAACTTCCAACCCATTCAACCTCCTTTTCGTGGTTGTTACCACGAACTACGACTGCTCTGATTCTTCATTCTCGTCTGAATGTAAGATACGTAGGCACAAGATTGCGATGATCTTGGCGAGCACACTTCCATTTTTCTCCCCTATTCCACACTTCCATTTTTCTCCCCTATTCAACACTTCCATTTTTCTCCCCTATTCCACACTTCCATTTTTCTCCCCTATTCCATTCCCCCCATCCTTTCCCGTAGTCGAACTACGACGCTCTGATTTCTCATTCTCGTCCGAATGAGCATACGTAGGCACAAGGGCCCCAATCCTTGGCGAGCACCCTATCCTCTAATCACCCATCTCTCCTTTGCGTCTTTAACCTTTTACCCTACCAATTCTAACTTTAACAACGAGAAGAAAACAAGCAAACCTAGACAACACTCCTCACAATTACCTTAAAAGGTTCCCGTCGAGTACGACGGACGTAAAGGGTGCTAATAACTTCCCCTCACGTAACCGACTCCTGAACCCGGAACATGGTTGCGACAACCCTATTCCTATCCTTTCGTTTTAAGAGGTTTTCTCGATATTTTCCTCTCCCGTTTATTCGGGAAAAATAAAGTTCGGTGGCGACTCTGTCGAATCGCAATTTCCACGCCTTTCGCGCGAGGGTCGTTTTCTCCAAAATATCTCCGTGATTTTTCGAGGTGCGATAGTTAGTCAATTTGACACCAAATTGATAGACCAGAGGTTGTTTACCAAAAAACACGGTAAACAAAATGGCACACCTGGTGGGACAGTGCTGAACAAAGAAAGTTTTGAGATCATAAAACTCTAGAAATATAAGCCTTATCAATTTTTCTTCAAAATACATTGTATGTTACTAAGAAGTGGCAGAATAACCACTACGAACGAAGAAAGTTTAGTAAGACATAACACTAGGAATATGGCGACGGAACCCGTTCAGC